AAAAATGAAGCTTTAATAAGTTATAGTTACACACAATTTACTTGTAACTTTGAATTTTAAGTAGAATGCATTAATAAACAATACTTTATACATTAAAAATGATTTTTAAAAGTTTTTATCAAATGCTTTATAATATAATATAGATTTTTGATTTGTCTGTTAGGTTGTAATTGGGTTTGTTGCAAGTCTTTTAGTTACATGCAATACAAAAGGATCAACTTAATGGAAAAATAAAAAAACAAATCATAAAAGGTAAAATAGTTATTTCTTATTGGACTGTTTATTCGACATTATGAATAAAACAAGCTGGCTTAATTTATAAAAATAACTTAAATCAAATAATATTTGTCTCGATGACATAAATGATCATTTTATTCTTTATTGTTTGTTTTTTTCTAAGAACTTATATTATATAGTTTATAATCATTCATGTTTTTTTGTCTATTTATGAGCATTCACGTAATTCTTTCTATTAATCTTATTGCCTTGGATTAATATTGTCCAACACATTGTTCACGAGGATCACAATATATCTATATATAACATTCGTTTTTCTTGATCATTTATCAAACAACTGTCGTGTAAACATGTAAGGTGTTTTTCTTTTGATATTTGTATTTTCAAGATTTATCTGAAACCATTTAATTTTTGTAACTTAACTCGGTTCCACTTTAAAATTCACACAATAAACGAGTTAAACCATCTTTATTTTTTTTAACCTGGATATCTAACCCGTTTTGCGAGCCGACTAATCTCAGGGTAACCACCTGCTTTGCAAGTAGCCCGGAGTCACCACATTTGAACCTCTGTGACCATAAGGGGATTTTTGTTCCTTCTTGAATTTGAACCTGAGACCTCCTGACACTTTTGACCTTTGGAGCCAAACTCAAATCAATCAGACACCATCCTTATGGTTGGATCTTCATTTTAATCAAGTGGTGGAAAAACCCATAATATTAAATATATACAAAGAAAGATCCAACGCTTATGGATATTTAGATGATGTTTGTTTTTTAAGAGGTGTTGAAGTCTGAAATCTGAGTTTACTTCTGATTTATAAAAGGTGGTGCTGAAGTCTGAAATTTAGATCAGTAAGACTGTTTGTTTTATGTTTGAAGTCTGAAATCTGAATTAGTTAAACTAATGTAAAAATACAAAAGATAAATAGTTTTTGCAAACAAAACTTTTCCAACTCCCAAAATATGAACCATTTGATAAAATGTGGATTAGAATTAAGATGTATTAAGGTATACCTTTATCACTTAAATTTTCAGAGGATATTTAACGTTTTTAAGCTCTTATTTAAAAACAAACAAACATTCTTAATATCTAAACGTCTAAATGAATCTGACTTCAGAGGTATTAAGAAGAAATTTAAAAAAAAAAAAAGCTTTTTTTTTATTGTATGGATGCTCTAATATCAATATATACAATCAATCAATCGAAAGCAAGAAACTTTTATTTTTAAAATATATAATATTTATATATGACAAATTAAATTTACATACACTTTTAATCTTTAATGAAACTTGATCTCTAGAAAAATCGGTTTACCTGCTAATGGCCTTTCGGAAAGTAAATAACTTATTATTACCAAGAGACAACGAATATACTAAAGACGGACTTAGAATTTTTTTCCTTCAAATTGTGGCACCATTTGACTATAAAAACAAAGATATGGATAAATTTTACAAAATAATCTTTAGTTTACTGGTTAGTTTTTTGCTTTTCGTATGTGAAGTCTCGTGTTCAAGTTTTTTTTTAATTATAAATCATAGTAAACCTGAAATTAAAAGCAAAAAACTAAGAAAAACGGCACAAATGAGATTCGAACTCCGGTATTGGGTGGAAGAAAAGCCATGTAAACTAACTCTACCTAAGAAAACTTGTGTTATCATTGTAGTTTCAAGATATATATGGTTGCACAAAACGGAATGATATGATAGCACATTTCACGACCCTATAATTTCTTATACTACGACGAAGAAATGAAGCGGTGACCTGTGTCATCGTATCTATTAAAGTGGGTCCGCCACTGAAGATGCTACTAACAACCCACCATTGACTTTTGCCAAAATCAAACATAGAAAAAAAAACCGTTGGGTTATGATGAATCATAATCTTTCTTGAGCTGAAACAAGGATAGATTGGTATATATTCGATGTGTGATTGAACTGTTAATCCTTAACGAAAATTGATATTTAGGATCAAGAAAAGAAGATTTTGTTGTTTTTTATGTTTGGTGTTGGGTGGGATCAAAGAACAAGGAGGAATCGTCTTCAGTAGTTAAATAACCAAAATATCCTATGAATGTTACTGATGATTAATACAAAAATAATTAAAGTATTATCCCGCTTGTAGATCGAGCATAACAAAGAAATGAGCCTCAAAACAAAACTATACCAGTCGTGTGGAACACAAATCCCAGACACGATGTTTAATCAATAAGAGATATGAATTAAGATAAAATAAAAGAGGACGATTGATTTTAAAACGAATACGTTTTTTAGTTTTCATGTAAACCATAACCAAACATTTCTATATGATTTAATGGCCATTAAACCTTTTAAATCAATGCCAAATGTTTTCTTAGGGCTGTTTGTTTGGCTCTTAATGGTGACATTAAGAGCCAACCTCTTAATCGGTAAAAGGTCAAGAGTGTTTGGCAAAAAAAAAACAAGCTCTTAATGGTTACATTAACCTCTTAACCATTTTGCACCTAGAGTTTCACTAAACCATTCAGATGTTCATTTTTCCAACTCTTCCCTTCGTTCTTCATATCGCATCCCCCCTCCATCACCGTCTTCCCCCCCTCCATTGTCGGTTCCACTCGTCGGTCTTCCATTGTCGGTTATCAGAAAAAATGAGATCCATCTGCGACCTCCGACGAATGTACGGACCAGGAACTCCGGCGTTTAACACCCCTTTCATAACCCCACGATTCGATGTGTTCAATGAAGAAAATCTCGCCGCTGCAGTTCTAGCAACTACAACATCTCGAAACTTCCTCCATCTCCATAACCCAGATATAAATTGAATCAATAAACGGTTTCAACAACTGGGATCTTTGTATAGTAGCAGACGCAAGTGCTATATAACTTGAGAATCATCTATCTGATCCATAAATTTATCCAAATTAGGATTATATGCGTGCGTTTCATACATGAAATCCGGAAATCGAGGCAGAAAAAAGGGATGAATTAAGGAATTAGACAAGAGAGGTGAGCATTCGTGGGTGGAAAGCAAAAGAATCGTGAAGATGGGAACCAATAGGAATTGCTCTCTACTCCTATTGCTCTGTTTCTATTTCCCTTTTTTGAAATCGAGTGAGTGAAACCTTAATTTCTTTTTTGGCATCTGTTAGTTCAATACAAAAACATGACCAAAGCATACAGAGGGTTAAAATGGTAATTTGTTGTCATTAAGAGAACATTTACCAAACAACCATATTTCATTTAGCACTTAACCATTCTGACCCTCTTAACCATTATGATCACTTAACCATTCTGCACAAAACCATTCAGCAACTGCCAAACAGCCCCTTAATGAATAAAAAAAAAAGAACAAATAAATATTACCTTTATATGGATTTATTAATTAACTAAAGTTGAAGTTAAAATAATCAAGTAAAATCTCTTGGGATTTAGTGGTTGTTTATCAGTTGTTGAATGGTTTGGTGTAGAATGATTAAGAGACTCTCATGATATATTAGAAAATGAAATATAATTATTTGGTAATTGTTTGTGATAAAATTAGGGATCTTTATGATTAAGGAAGACCCATGATACAAAATCATTTAGAGATTTTAGAAGCATTAAGAGGCAGTTTTTTTTTTTTTTGTCAAATAAGATTCATCTCTTAACGATTCAGATATTGCCAATTAATGAAACTATTAAGAGGTAAACATATAATCCCTTAATTAGACCAATAATTACTTTTTATATTTTAAGATTTCTTTTATTATATACTGATGAGTAAACTGCAAACTTGGTCCCTGCAGTTTATAAAAAATAACACTTTTTACAATTTCAAAATTAAAAGATGGTAATCGTGGTTTGCAAAAACGTTCGGATTTGATCTCTTCTTCTCACGGTTGTTAAGAAACTCCATTGAACGAAGGGTATTTCGTCCTTTATTTCTTTTACCTAATCAAAATCAATTATATCATATGGTTTTTCATTGAGTAAAAGACAAAAGAAATCAATAAAAGAACGGGAATGCCTTTCATAACAAATATTAGAGAAATTGATTAAATTTGGATGTTTTTACAAACTACGATGATCATTTTATAATTTCGAAACTATAAAGTCTAAAAATGTTAGTTTTGAAAAACCACGGGGACCAAATATGTAGTTTACTCTATACTAATTAGTTTAAAGAAATGACCTGTGGTTAATATAAAGTATAAAAGGGCAAATAGCAGGGTTTGGAAGGGCAGTTTTTGATAACAAGAGAAGCAAAGAGAAGAGAAAGAGAAGAGGAAAGGGGAGGGGAATTTGGAGGGAGAAAAGAGCTTTTTGACTCTCCTTCTCTCTCATATCATCCATCATCTCATGCTTCATCCATGGCCGACTCCATTCAAACAACAATTCTTTAATTAATTACACATTCATTCATTCAAACAATTTTTTGCTTTAATTTTCACACCCCTCAATTCCATTCATCTCCCCAAACGAATGGTTATTTCGTCGCAAAAGGTATCTTCATTATCATGCATTGCTTCTCTTGTATACATTTGATAATTTTACACCTTCTGGAATCATCTTTTCGTGATTGAATCGTATGTTGGGTTTCCTGATTAAATTTATGGGGGACTTGGAATGTGGGTTACGTTTTTCATTTTGTTTATAATAATCAATTTCTAGAATGTTCATTTCTTTGAATCCATGGAAATTATGGATTATACCTGATCTGCATTCTAATTTCTTCCATTTTTTTCAATCAGAATTCTTCTGAACACAAAGGATCCACACAATTTGAAGATTTGATCCTTTTGAATCATGGGAAATTGCTGTGTTACCTCCGGTAGTTCTGCTCAGAGGAATGAGAAGAAGAAGAGGAGAAGGAGAAAAAATCAGAAACCGAATCCATTCTCACTTGATTATCAAACCATATCTGTACCTAGCCATGATGAGATCAATTTCTTCGTATTAAAAGATCCAACAGGTCATGATATTAATCAGCATTACAATCTTGGTCGAGAGCTGGGAAGGGGAGAATTTGGGGTAACATATTTGTGTACGGATTTGGATACTGGCGAACGATTAGCCTGCAAATCGATATCGAAAAAGAAGCTTCGGACTGCAGTGGATGTCGATGATGTGAGGAGGGAAGTCGAGATCATGAGGCATTTTCCAAAACACCCGAATATCGTGACCTTAAGAGACACTTATGAGGATGCTGATGCTGTGCATATCATGATGGAATTGTGTGAAGGCGGAGAATTGTTTGATCGGATTGTTGCAAGGGGACGATATACAGAACGAGCTGCAGCCGCGATCATGAGGACCATTGTGGAAATCGTTCAGGTCTCGTATTCAACGGATTTCGTTTCTACGATCATATGTGTTCATTCGGAGCTATTTAGCTGATTGACGTTCTCAAAAACTGAATTTAAGAATCTAACCCTCTAGTGTATTTCTAAGTTCTTTCAGGAGCATATTGTTTTAAACCATGGGGAACAAGATTAGATGAAGATGGGTGTTTGAGATTACTTATAAAAATAACTTATTGACCTATTTCGGTGCGGAACCGGTAACAAGCACTTTTCAGTGTTTGGATAAACAGCTTATACCGGTGCCAAACTGGTAATAAGAAGTTTTTGAAAAAGTTTCATTTTGAAAAAGTTTCATTCTAACTTATAATAAGTTGAAAAAGACTTTTATAGAAAAACATAAGTTGTTTTAAATAAGAAGTTAAATCATTCGAGCTAAAATCATTTAAGATCGTTTATTCAAAGACGAAAAGACTTGAAAAAGCTTGTCGAGAAGGTCATTGAGCGAAATGGCCTGTGTTCATTTCCTCCTTCAATTGTTTCAAGAATTTGGCAAAATAATCTTGTTTCTGGATGGTTTTCAAGTTGAAATTTTGCATAGATTTTGTGTTTCTTTTCGTTGATATTGGGTTCCTATTGTTTACAGATGTGTCACAGTCACGGAGTTATGCATCGTGACCTCAAACCGGAGAATTTTCTTTTCGGAAACAAGAAGGAAACAGCTCCTCTAAAGGCCATTGATTTTGGGCTGTCAGTTTTCTTTAAACCAGGTTTATTGATTTGAACCTTTTCTTTTGGTGTAGTTGGATTCATCTAGTTTTCGAATTCGCTTATAGATTGTATGTTATCTACCGAAACCACCTCTCTGCCGTACATTTTAGCCCTTTTGTTTTATTGTGCGTTATGTAGGGGATGTCTTTAACGAAATCGTGGGAAGTCCTTATTATATGGCTCCGGAAGTTCTAAAACGTAGTTATGGCCCTGAGGTTGATGTCTGGAGTGCCGGAGTTATCTTATACATTCTGCTTTGCGGTGTCCCGCCTTTTTGGGCAGGTGCGCTTTTCTATTTCAGTCGTTACTGTTGGAGTTCCACGTCAGCTAGACACAGACCAGCAAACCTGTATATATGTAGATTCAAAAGTTTTCCTAACAGTTACCAAACACACATGTTTTCAAATGAAAACAACATGCATGTTGCATGGTATTGATTTCCTTACGAGTAATTCACAACCACCTCGTATGTTGTCTACAGAAACCGAACAAGGAGTAGCCGAAGCAATTATTCGCTCGGTAATTAATTTTAAGAGAGACCCGTGGCCTAAAATCTCTGATAACGCGAAGGATCTTGTGAAGAAAATGCTTGAACCAGATCCAAAGCGCCGGCTTACAGCTCAGCAAGTTCTTGGTAATTTTACGTTATATAGGTACTGTTATGTTTGAAAACACGGTTACTTCTATTACGGGCTGGCTAATTATTTACTTCCGTATTGCAACCGCAGAACATCCGTGGTTATTGAATTCAAAGAAGGCTCCAAATGTTCCATTGGGTGAGGTTGTGAAGTCTAGGTTGAAACAGTTCTCGGTCATGTACAAGCTCAAGAAAAGAGCTTTGCGGGTATGATCCGTTTATTAACTTTGCAAATTTTAAGCTCTCTGGTGAGCGATTGACTGCAATTATGCACAGGTGGTGGCAGAGCATTTGTCACTGGAGGAAATGGCTGGAATGAAGGAGGAATTCCGTGTGATAGATACGGGGAACAAAGGCAGGGTGAATCTTGAAGAACTCCGAATTGGTTTACCGAAACTTGGTCATCAAATAAATGACGCGGATCTTCAAACATTGATGGAATCTGTAAGTACCATCGATCATATAAGGAATGATCAAACGAGATTTTCTATTGAACGGCTTCATAGAATTGGGATCGTGTAGGAAATTAAAGTTTGTGAGAAGTCGTAGGAAACATTTGTCAGTGGGTGTTCGCTTATGCGAACATCCTAACACACGTTAACATGGACATTAACACAAGTTAAAATACATAAAAAACATACCATTGAAACCTATATATATACATTAGTGAAATCTTAACGTATGTTAACATGTTAACTTATGTGAACCTCCGCTTAAGGCGCTAACAAAGTGTTTCGTACTTTCTCACGAAATTTTGATTTACTACTGGAACCCAACCCGGACTTCATAATGGTCAAGAACCGGTCCATCTTCAACTACTTGTAATTAAACATCATGGAGGTCAAGAAAAACATCTTCTTTCCGGTAACGCACTTTTTGTTACCATTGAAACCTATATATACATACATATACATATATAGAAGGAGTTTCAAATACGACCCATGTCATTCATGCAAACCAATCAATTGAGATATTTATAAAAGGGATGAGAGTTCATTTATTATGATTTGAATATCTATGGAAGATGATTAGAGTTCATTAATTATGATCAACGCCTTATATTAAGAAAGAATTGAGATATTTATGAAACCAAATATTCATTAGACTAGATTGATGGTTGAAATTGGTTTGTATGAATGACATGGTTTGTATTTGAAACGCGTTCTACACGCACACACATATATATGGGTGTAATAAAATAGTAACCCCATATATTGTGATAACCGTGAGAACTTTTAGTTTAAGGTATCGTCTCACATGATCCTTTTCCATCCAAGGCTAGTATTTAATGTATTGCTTATCATATATTTGTTTCACAATATGTTTGTTTCATATGTATTTGGTTCATAATGTAAAACGTTTTTACAAGTACTTTTTGTTTCACAAACACGCCACAAAGTTTCACATTGTGAAATAGATACAAAACAAATACATGTTAATCAGTACCCTAAATTATAGCCTTGGAAGGAAAAATATCATATCAAATAGCACATCAGGATTTTCATAATTTTATGGGTTCTTAAATGATTAGCCCCTTATATATGTAGGAAACTCGCGCTCTTTTAGAGGGAGATTCAAAATAGATTAAAATTGGAATGATGGTTTTGTAGGCGGATGTCGATAGAGATGGGACCCTGAACCTTGGGGAGTTTGTTGCGATCATTTTGCACCTTAAGAGACTGGCAAACGATGAGCACCTACACAAAGCCTTTAACTTCTTTGATAAAGACCATAATGGTTATATTGAGGTCGAAGAGCTTCGCCAGGCGTTAAGTGAGGAAGGCGATGAAACCAATGACGATGCAATTAACGTCATTATGAATGATATCGACACAGATAAGGTCCCTTTTTCATAGTTTCCATATCGATCAAATGCATTCATCATCTTTCTTTTGAAGCATCTGATATTTATATACAACAAAACTCACACACACTCCTCAGTTTTGCCCAAAGGGCCCTACCAGTAACTCACGTGCTGCTGGGCCATTGACCCTTTGAACATTTTCATTTCCCCCCTTGTTTAACGACCTATGTTCGGATTTTGTCAGGATGGGAAGATCAGTTACGAGGAATTTTCTGCAATGATGAGGACTGGTACAGATTGGAGAAAAGCTTCGAGGCAATATTCCCGAGAACGTTTCAACAGTCTTAGTTTGAAGTTGATGAAGGATGGTTCGTTAGAGTTAGCCAGCGAGGGCCGTTGAACGACTTGAAATCTTTATAATCACACAAAGTGAGATGTTTAAACGGAATGAAAGAATCAGATGTGGAGTATTTTCCATTTCTGTACAGATTGGGGGAGGGGTAACAGCTCTATCTGCATAGTTATGGCAAAGCCATCTGTTGGATGGATAAGAGAGCAAATGGATGAGATGGAGTTGTAACCATGGTCATTGCTGTTGGTGCAGCTGTCTTTTTGAGAGTTTCCCATTGTTGACGTGCTTGAAGCAATTGTAAATCTTTTAATGTTTTGTAAAGATGCGCATCTCCTTACCTTACCTGTTAAGATAATGATGTCATGTCATAATGACGAATATTTGTATGTTTATGCTTATAAATAATTGCCTTTCTCTTCTCTTCTCTTCTCTTCCCTCAAAATTTGCTTTTATTATCAAAAAGTTTAATTTTAGCGACTGCTCTCACAATACGTTGCATTTTCATTAAGGGATTCGTGCCATTTTAGTTGATACCAATTTAATTGGTTGGTAGTATCGTACCAACCATTTAACTTGGTTGGCATGTGGTATTAGAAGTTGTGTACCACGGTAGTAATACATATCGTACTAACTTTTTTTTAATTAAAAGTTTATTAATAATACAACATATTTTGATTTTTAAATTCTTAATTAAAACTTGATTGAATTCATTCACCTAATACCAACTTTAGTAAATCGTTCACACCTCCACGGTCCATCACCGCTCCTCAATTTAGTTAAAACCAGGTATATTTAGTTGGTACATCGTATAAAATGTTATATACCAATTATAATTGGTTGATGCACAATATATGATAAAAAAATGGTACCATACCATGTTCAACTCTAATTTCTATACAATCTCAAATGTAAACCAGATAGCTATACGATTAAGATATCACATCTAAGGTACCAAAATAAAGATTTTTGGAACACCGTTTGCGAGATCAAAGATTATTACGATAAATATAACAAAAACAATTTTCAGTCTACATGAAGCTACAAAACATTATACTTTTTGAGAGGAAGGATTCCGTTCAACCGAGACCAACTTTTCGTTACAATCAAGTATGGAAAGTTCGGTGGTAACGTACATTCAAAAAGCTATATATTTGGTGCAATCACTTGTACCCTATGCAAAAAGAGTTGTACCTTGCGGTTGATCGTCGGATTCCCACTTTGCCAATCTGAAAAAACTTACAAGAAACCTTAGAAAAGAAAGGAATTCCCCTCTTGGTAATGTATTAAAAGCAGATATGGTTTCTGTTGTAAAGATCAAACAAGTAAATCTTTATATGCAGTCAATCCTTGGCTCTCAGAATACTGCTTCAGTTTGAACAGTGACCGGCTTTCCAACTGCCGGATTCGTTCTTTTGACACCCCCAAAATGATACCGATATCGGCTAGCGATTTCCGGACCTCACCTCCGATTCCGTATCTCAATCGGATTACTTTTCGTTCTTTAGGACTGAGAATGCCGAGGAGGTTGGAGATATGGTTTCTCATAAGTTGCTTTGATGCACTTGTATCTGGGCTATCAATAGTAGTGTCTGCAGTGATTTCCTGAAAAAATATGAATGCAATCATATAAGAATTCTAGATGTTTCAAATATAATCAGTCAAAATGCATTGCTTCTGTTTTTTCGTCATCTGCGTTAACTGAGAAAGTGTTTGGGTAAGTGCCAACTCAAAATGGTTGTTTACCAAGTGCCTGAGTAAGCGCTGACTGAAGCACCGATTGCATCAAAAGCAACCCCTTCCTTACTGGGTTATCATCTTGGTCAACATATTTATGGCTTAAAGTGTGCTGGTAAGCACCTCATACCCAGTAAGAGGCGCTTGGTAGGTAGTAAACATCCCCTAAGGGGCGGTCTACGAACACAAATTGAGTAACTGCTAACCGGATAAGAGTGTGGTTTGGGTAAGAGGTTCAGTTAAGCTCCGACAGAGTAAGAGAGTCTTTCCTTCCTGACTGAGTCTAACATCTCCATTTGTAAGTTAAGAGTGTATGGTGAACAACCTCACCCCTTATCGAGTAAGGGGCTGTTTGGTTGGTTTTCCAATAAGTCCTGTATGGTTAAAGCTGTCTATGAATTAATCTGTCTGTATAAACTGAGGTCTTTTCATAGGTGATGAGCATTTTTCAATTAGGAAGGACATTTTGGAAAAAACTCAGCCTTCTGCAAAAAGTCCCCCCTATAAGCTTACTGAAATAAGCCACTTTCTATATCATTAAGCCACCACCAAACAGTCATGTATAGCTGACCGAATAAGCTATGAGTCCCATAAAACTCATTAAGCTGCTAACAAACAGACCCTAAGCGCCTCTTACCCAGTAAGAGGTGGTCAACACTAAACAGCCCCTAAGCCCTTTTTCAAAGCTAGAAAGCATGTTTGGACATTTCAGCCGAAGTAGTTCCTAAAAGGAGAGTTGGAGCTGCATGAATTCTTTCGCTCAATTATTCATGCCTATTCAGAGCTCAAAATCAGGCTCAAAGGTAAACACGAAGCAAGATGGAGAGTTGGTGAGGACCTCATATGTAGTACTATCATCGGGCCAGATAGGCTGTTGCAACGAGAGCGTTATTTTTTGTACAGAACGCAACTTTTGCACCTTCTCAACGGGCATTCCAGCTTGGGCTGCAATTTGCTTCTGTGTAGGCTCATGATTACCTTCACGGATGCATATTCGCTTAGCTTCACTAACCTTATACAGGAGATTATATATCCCTTCCTGCACGTTAAAGTGATTAAGAATGCTTAAGCCCGTTAAAACAAAACGGAATAAAATAGACAAAAAAATGATGGCATACTGGCAAACGAATGAGCTTGGAATTTTGAAATATAGCTCGTCTAATGGACTGTCTTATCCACCAATAAGCATAAGTAGCAAAACGGCAACCAGCTTGCGGCTTAAATTTTAGGACGCTCCGCATGAGGCCCATACTCCCTTCCTGCAAGTGGACAGCCGATGGGTAAAGAGATTAATATAATTTAGTTGATTGAAGCACTAATTGCACGAAAAAAAGGAGTGATTAAGTTCACCTGCATTAGGTCCTGAAGGTCGAGTCCACGTCCCCTATACTGCTTTGCTATATAAACAACCATACGTAAATTGGCACATATCAACTTTTCACGGCTACTGGTACCACGGTGAAGTTGAGACTTCAATTCATGGCAACTAAGACTAGTGGCTTCAGCCCATTCGACTAATGTTGGTTCACGATGAAACTGATCACGGAATCTGCTTCGCGCTTCTTCTAATTGCATTCCAGCCTGAAATAGTACGTGATGCTTGGTTAGTTCTGTTTGTAACCAAACCAAACCAAACAGACCCAGTAAATTCCAATTAAAAGTAGGGTCTGGGGGTGGGATATATGCAGAACCGACCTCTACCCCAAAAGAGTAGAGTGGTTAGTCTTGTTTGTAATATAACTAAATCAATTAATCCAACGTGTTCGGATAACTAACAAACCTTTATATGGGCAATCAATTCGAGTTCTTCTTTTGAACTCAAAAGTTCTCTTGTTACTGGACGTGCCAAGAACATTCGAAGAGGATCATGTAGATTAGAATCTCTATATGTTGTTTTTTTCTCTGGCTCTGGTTTCGTAGAAGTGCTAGTCTCGCGAACAATAACATTCGACTTTGTCCCCTTTCTCCTCTTCGATTGCCTCTCTAGGAGGCGTGTTGACTTAACGAATTTTACCTTCCCCGTTTGAAGTACACTTGAATTCGTAGATCCTAAGCTGAAGAAACCGCACATCAAACTATTGTTGATATGTTTACCCAGAGAACCAACTATTTCATGTATTATTCATGGTGAATAACACAAAATATTCATAAATATTTTCATCATGAAAATCATGCATTTTCTTGATGAATATCTGATATTCATCATGAATAATACACGAAATAGCTGGTCCCAGGTTCTCAAACTATTTACGTTTCTCATTCGAACATACCCCGACAATGATAATGCATATAAACTGAGAAGAAAAAAAACCCTGACCTTGAAGTGATGGATTTATCAAGATCAACTCCAAATGGTTCACCATCATCGGCTAATGAAGCTGCTTCTTTTGAAGCTGATAGAGCTTTCTTAGCAAGGTCAAGTACATGTTCCATTTCAACATCCATAAGCTTTGTTGTCCCATTTGGAGCAGGCTGCATAGTCAAAGAGGAGGGTGTTTTTTCTCTTGTATGCGTGGAAGGTAACCTGTGAAAAAAGCACAACACCAGCAATACATGAGGTAAAACGCAAGAAACACGGGAATATTAACTTCAAATCTTTTAATTTTTCTTTAAAATGTTATAATGGATATATTAGATTGAGGGGTAAAATAGTTCGATTAGTCTTACAAATACCATAAAGCAGGCCACTGTAGCAATTGGCATTGGAATTCTTTAAGGTATTGATCAGAACTTATAGCATCCACTTCATGATCAGCTCCTTTCTGCTCGCCGTCCACTGTTGCCTATCAACAGCGAAAATGTACCAAAAGTTACTCAATGGTACAAAAAATAGCTTAATGTTAACTGCGGAGTTCTGATAGGATCCCGTGCATTAGTGCTGATATAGCTTACTGTTGTAGTAACATAAAGGGAATAATACATCCATATGTAATGAAGTCTGCCTTAGTTCCTATTTAATGTAACAGACAATTCTTTTCTTGATCAATGTAACAAAGTTTCAAATTTTCTGATTATTTACCATTTTGACAAGTAACCTGTTGATCGTGTAACATTTGATGGTGTGGATATAAACTTTATCGACCCTTTCACTGTAGCCCTTTCATAAATGGGTATCCATGTCATCAAATGTTACAAGATCAGTAAGTTATTGGTCAAAATGGGTATAAAATAGAAAATCTTGAAACTTTGGTATATCAATTAGAAAACAAAAATCTCCGTTACACTAAATAAGAACTAAACCAACCTTTCTTGCATTCTGCCCCAACATAAACAATAGACAATAATTAACTTTTCACTACCACATCTTCCGTCCATCATCCATCATAGCAGAGAAATACCACCAGATATCACCATTTTTTGCTTGAAATTTACGAGTCTCACCTGGGATGTTTTGTCGTCTTTTATTGTTTGCAACAACGGCTTACTTTCACGGCGTTGTTCTTGAATAAGCACGGAAGTAGGGAAATGTTGAGCTAAAGAAGTTGCTAACATAGAAGAATGTGCAGGAGCTGCAGGCTCATATAACTTCAAAGCTGCAATAGCAGAGTGATGCCATCAATAAGTTGACCTTGATACGAACAATTATAACACTATTTTCAAACCGATAAACAAAAATAATAAGTCACCTCAACCATATGAAGTTATTCACAAGAATAATCCAACTCTGATGCAGGATCAGCCCAGGGAAATTCAAATCTTACATCCATAAAAAAATTTAAAAATAAATACATCAACCCGACCCTTCTTCTAAAAGGAACACCATGAAAGAAGAAAAGCAAAGCATCATATAACACCTTTAGGGTTCCAACTCAAACCAATTGGCAACCTTCCTCTGTCTCGATATCCTAGCATGAGTTCAATCAATGTTTAATTAGTCATCCTAGTTCTAGTATCTTGCCTACAATCAACCAATAAAAATGTAGCTAACGTGAAAACTGAATGCAAAACCCAAAATCACTCCCTCTATCCCGTATCGAAATAAGTTTCCACTTCAAGATTTGCTTCAAAATAATTAGGCTAAAAGATTGTTTCACTTTATAAACAAGTTTCACATCATGTTTTTAAATACTCAATCTCTCCTTTTATATGTTACAGAAAAGAGAGGAAGTCTAGCGCAGGTTCTAAAAGGAAGATGCTTTGGGGCATTCATAGTATATGATCAACTCTTCAGACATTCAACTTTTTACTTATTAAATATAAACCCATTGGGTTGTTAAATCAAAATTCAGATATTTAGTGGCCGTTTACCAAATGCTTACCGGGTAAGCGAGTAGTAAGAAAGATGAATTAAGATATTTGCAGAGGATACAGTCACAGTGATTTGGAGTAGTTAAAGATTTCCACAAGTATTTAGTTTTAGGCAAAAGACAATTTTCTTCCTCATTTTGGAGTTTGCAACAGAGGAGGCATGGACAAGATTCGTTTGTAATCAACTAATCACATTACTTCCAAATCCATGAAATGAAATTTAGGCCTAAAACTAGTAACTAAATTCATTGATCCATGTGATGTGCAGCCCTATTTCCAAAAAATGGATTCTGTGCTTCTAAATTCTGGGTAAACAAACCGGTCGCCAAAGGTCTAACCAATAGATAATTGCAATCTCTGAACCGAGTTCAAGACTCAAAAACAAGATGTGTGCATTTTCTTCGTTTATTCTTGCCCTCTATAAAAGGGAAAAAACACCGTGGGGTAACAAATATGAAAAAGACAATCACCACAATTTCCAAATCTAAACAAGCAAAACATCAAACACATGGTGTACCAAAATAATTGGTCATACTTCCTTATTACCAGTACAGCAAACAATCAAGAATTAAAATTTAACGCACGTACGAGTATACCCAATCGCTTGTCCACTCAAAAATGAAGAATTCAAACACAAAACAGTCGCACATAAAGAAGAGTGAAGTTAAAGTACAGAAAAAGGGATAAATTTTGGATTAGATTATGACCTGAAGGAGGAGGAGGAGAAAATTGCTTGAGTTGGGTTCTTGGTGGCAAAGACAAGGATGACGAAAGCATTTTGCTTGCTGCTGCCTCCATCAATCTGCATCAATGTATCTCTGGTTTTCCAAACTTCAGACAGGTGATGGTGATGAAGACAAAGAATCAAAGAGAGAAATGTTGCAGGAGAGAGGAAGGGGTTTTCTCTGGCTCAGAGGCCATAAGAGAAGGGGTTTATCTTTCTGAAAGGATAACGGTGTTTTTCCAGTCTACATGGCTTCACCATTATACCCCCTTGGTCTTTTGGTTTATTGCAAGATCTACCCTCTAAAACAATTCTTTAAACTTGGAGCGTGGTTTTTTAAAACTTTCTTCTAATTGGTCCATAAATTCGTTTATGTTTTTAACGAAGGGGTAAATGGTTGGGTTTTCATGTTTTGAGTGATTAAGTCTTTAATTTTGAATAAATAAATCTTTACACCATCTGAAACCAAACGTATTGTAATCGATCACTCTGACTTATAAAACCAGTAAAACGAAAGAAATATTTCATTTTTATTAGGCATTTCGAAACATAACTTATAAATAGATGTATACAAAACTTGTTTTGATCCCCTTTTTTTACAAAATATACCAAAATATGTGTGCATTCCATTGAAAAAAGAATATACCAAAAGTTGTGTCTTTTGCAGTTACAAAGTAATTTATGTTATATATAAAAAACCTAATATATCTGAAGATCCACTTCCATCTTGGTCATATACAACGTTTCTAAGTTTCTTTTTGAGTATTCTGTCACACCCCTTGATCCACTTGAGAGAAATATGGCATCTTGTTCCACTCACAAGATAACTGATATAACTTACTCAACGTAAGTAGTATAACATCTCACTTAATGCCTTAATTGGTAAATACAACTGCATGCTCCAATAGCCCTCAAGTCTACTAGCACAACGTACGTAATGCGATTCATACCACAAAAATAAGAATTTAAATAAGCTGCTAGCATATAACTATAGCTAGACTTGTCCTTTGTCCTAATCCGGTTCGAAATTCTTGTTTCCGATATGCATGATATGAGTCAGCTAAATAGTCTGGTGAGTCCAGAATCCAACAACTATATTTACCATGACATAACGTAGGATAATAAATCTTCTCACATTAACATAGGGTTAGAAACCTTCTCATATTAAGACATTATACATTTAAGTACTACATCCCACAATCAATACATTTGTGTACTCGCATAATAAACTCACAGAATGACTCATGCAATATAATATTGAATCTCGTTGCTCAATGTTGACTCGACAAAGTTGGTTCTCGCTTAAAGGGTTTACATCCATTTGGTATTGTCGTCCCTGGCACACACCATCATTGAAATCATAGTTCTCGCCCACACAATGAAACATTATCAAACTCTGTAGTTTGTATAATGCACTAAAATGGAAAACGCTCACACTCTACAACACATAACATTTATGCATGTAAGTAAGAGTATGCGAAGCTCACTTAATTGTCGTAGGCTTACACGTCACATGTTCGCTTCCATTCCTACACACTCTAATTACTTCCACTACATTCGTAACACTTGTGCTCAGTTTCTGCTTAACATATTGAACCAATCTTTTTGTCGTTCCAGACACGCCCATTTATCAGCGTGTGTATGTGTGTGTATATTATTTATTACTTTGCCAAAGTAACCCAACGTATTCAAAATGGATACCTTTTATTTTTTACTTTAACTCCACACATTAATGAATATACCGGCTATAAACGTATATGAGCTAAAGGAGAATGGACGCAAACATGTATAAATTAAACAACATAAGATTTGTACATTTTCTCTGGTTGGTCAGATCTTTGTCGTTTGCCAAGTTTGACAGTGTTTTTATTTATTTATTTATTATTATTTTAGTTAATTTAGACCTCTTTAAAATATGTTGAGAGCTAGAGCGTGTTTGGTTCAGGCAGAAGAATAGAAATGAGTCTGAAAATAAAAATGACAGGAAATGAAAAATGAAAATGAGAATGAATTTTCATTTTCTTCGGTTTAACCTGAAATAAAATTTTGGTCTTTAATTAATTACAACAAAACCATCAACAAAAGATTCTATGTTCTTTTGTTGTTAATATCTAATATTTAGAAGACAGATAATTGATGATAAAATAGATTAATGATAGAAATTCATTTGATATGTTACCAAGATAGTCAAAAAGGTAATTCTATTGTTTATTTTGGGATATTTAATAAATTTTAATCAATTTTCTGTAGAAGAAATATAGCAAATAAAATCAATTAGCTGTCAAAACTTTTGTAACCATGGAGGTTCACTTACGATAATTTCATGTCATTCCTAGTCGTCTGATGGGTTAATTGGTGCGTATAAACTGACTCGAAAATCTACGGTTTCAAAAAAAATCAATTATCTTATTTTCAAACAAATTCAGAAGCTAGAAATCATCATAAGGCAATGGAATACACAATTATAAAGACCTTAAAAGACATAAAGATTCATATTGAAATATTTTGTGTAACTACTGAAAATTATGAATATCTGTAAATAATGAATGATAAAATAAAATATTATAAACCAAAATGAATGCAATTAATTTAAAAAGTGTTGTAACGCTCGATTGTTAAAAAAGTAACTTTTATTTATGGAAAATCTAGTAACACTTTTCACATTTATAGTAATTTCATAAAAGGAGTATATATAAAATAAAAATATACATTATATTTTTATTTAGAGTCAACATTCTTGACACACATTTAAACAATATTTTAATGTTTTTATTTTGATATCTTGGTTTGAATTTGTTTCTATAGTGATGATATAATTCAAATGAAAATCACTCTTATTTGTAAAAACCGTATAAATCATCTTTATACGTCGATTTTATTGTTTAATCTTGTGAAATTGTTTCATATAATACTTTTTTGATGAATTTGTTTCATATATGGTTATGAAATTATTTCATATAATATTTAATGAAACTGTTTCATGTATTTCTCTAAAATTAAAATAATGAAGATGATAATATCTATGATTAACGCCCTTTACAATAAAAATGGTTAATCAACCTCTCATAATTACAAAAAAATGAACAAAATAAAAAATTATGATTGATTGAATAAGGTTTTTACGGTTTTTACAAATTAAGTGATTTTTATTTGAACGCTCCCATATATATATATATATATATATATATAAAAGGAAAAACATGAGGTGTATGAGTTATAGAAATTAACATCATTTCAAAAGAAAGACAACACATGATACTTCATGCCCTAACTTTGAAGGGTTGTATGATGAAACACACCTCCTCCTCCTTCACAACCTCAGTATATAACCCCCACCTTACAACCCTCAAGAAACACAAACTCCATCTTCTTCTATTCTCACAAAATGAACCGATCTTCTTCCAACAATACATCCACCGGTGAATCAGGAACTCATCGATGGCCTCCTGCTCTTCCCAATGCTCATCAACCACCACCACCACCTCCTCCGCATATGGGTCGCAATGTCCGCCCTCGTAATATGGCTCGCAGATCACTACCGACCCATGAAGCTCAAAAACGTATCACCAATTTTGGTCCTTATTGGTTACCATCCCCATATATGACACCTGACTTAGTTCCATATCAACTAACCCCCGTGCGTGCTTTAGCACCGGAATATTCTCAAACTGAAACGACAAATCTTGCAGTGCCGAAGCTGTTTGCAGCCCGAATTGTGCAGCTGAAAGAAGAGTTGAGATTGGAAGACGAAGGGGAGGCCGTAAAATGGCTTCTTAAGCAATCTGAACCAGCCATTATCTCCGCCACTGGAACTGGTACGATGCCAATCATGAGATCCTCCTCTGCCGGCCATTCCAACGTTCGTCGTGGTGGACCGTTGGTTATCAGTGCTCCGCTAGCGGGGAATGATTATGATACTGATCATGGTGAATCATCTACTGGGGATAACGAGTGAGAGATGATGATCTTTGTGTTGTTGTTGTTGTGGTGATGGTGGTGGTGTGTCTAGGAAGTGGTAAGCTGGGGTGGCAATAAGAACTTATATTCCTTTTCTTGTTTTTTTTTTTTTTTTACTGTTTTGGGTGGCGATGGAAGGTGGTGTGATAGCTTCTATTATTCGTAATTGAAGTTTTTATTTATTTTTGTTCAGGCAATTCTCGTCAATGCTTATATGTGTTATTTCAAGTGTTAATTTGATGCTTTCTTAATTATTTATAATTAACCAAGTATAGAACATGGGCTAATTCGATCATATATATACATTTTTTTTGTATATTCAAGATTCTAAATGGTGTAAGTCGTGATATAACTATATGTCCGTGCATCAAGAATTAGAAGTCATGGTTTTTTATTAAGGTGTGACATGTGAAAAATAATTTGTATATTATATTTATAATTATGTCTTGAAATTAAAGGCAAGAGGAAACTTAAGAAAATAGTTGGTTATACGTGAATCATATATATGATTTCGTACCTTAATGATTTTTTTCTTGATTTTTTTAAATAGTTAGCGTTCTTGTTTGAATCTGCTCTCATATACATATTATCAAATATTTGTCATCATAGGTGGAGGATCGTATGAGAAAGAGAGTTAAGGTGAGAAGTATAAGAAGGGATCTGGACCCTTGATCACCTTAATTTAATCTCAAACCTACTCATTAATCGTGCTTGATAGGGGGATTGATCTGGTACATCTCATCCTAATATATATTTAAGGGTGGCGATCTTTTTTTATACTTCTCACCTTAACTTTTGCTTTTCACGGAAATCCAACCTTATAATCATAATGATAAATAAATAAATATTTAAGTTTAGCATGGAGGGTTTTTATGAAAAAATTAGCAATTTTAATGTGATTGTATAGAAAAATGATACAGGTTTTTAATGATACAGAAAAAAGAAGTATATGCTTAATTGGTAACATATTGAAATCGAATTTATTTATTTTTCTTGATGATAAAATCGCATAATGTATTTTGAAATTCATATATAAGCTTGTTGAAATCGAGATATATATAATATATACTATATTATAAAGTATTTGATAAAAACACTTAAAAACTATTTTTTATGCATGAAGTATTGTTTATTGATGTATATTACTTAAAATTCAAGATTACAAGTAATTTTGTGTAAGTACAACTTATTAAAGCTCTGTTTTTAAATTCGTGTAACTAACAGCAGATAAACATAATCAAATACAAGATAAACATCTATTTTAGATTTAGAAAATCTAAAATATAATTAAGATAATTATTGAGTTCTAACAAAATGTTTAATTATTATCTTTATAAAAAATTATATTATTAAATTAAAAATAAATTACTTTGTTATTAAATCTAAATTAAATTATAATAAAACTTTGAATTAAAGAAGATGCACCAAAAAAATGAGGGCTATTAAATAGTTAATTTGATACTAATATCGATTTTGTTTTTTTCAAATTTTTTAAGTTATCTTCAAATTTATATTTTATTCAAAAATAAAAAACATTATTGTTTTTTCAAAACCATATAAAATCGTATTATATCGATAGAGATAAAGAATAAAATTAAACATTAAATTGAGGATTATTTTCGCTGCATTACACGAATATTCTTCTAGTTATATATAATGAAGCTTAATGATCGACATGTCTACAAGCCAATTTAAGATACATAATTTCTTTAAATTTTCGTACGAAAACATATATACGTGTAGTTTATCGATCAATTTAAAAACAATTTAATCTCATATTCCTCCAAATTACGAAGAAAATAAAAAAACATTTTTTTTAAAAAATTCAAAGTATTTTACAAGTATATATCATGTGAATAAGACGTATGTTAAATGATGTTTAAATCTACATTTTAAATGTTTGATTAGTAACACATGTGAATATACACATGAATACTTGTGAATAATCAACATCACAAATCTCATTTCCATCGCTTAATTTGCAGTCTTTTTGAACAGACCCGACTCTAAATATCCTTCCCTCTCGTGGGTTCACATGAAATCCCCCATGAAACACGAGTTTTTAGCTTTCGCTGGAGTTCAAAATATTCTCTCTAAATTAATAATTTGTATTTGATTTGTGATTGTACCGTTTATATATTCTCGTAAAATTTAAGTTGAACCATATCCGTACACGTGATTTTTAATGAGGTGCACAACGTTTTTTTATGAGCACACCTATGTATACTATGACAACAATAAACTTCAAATAAAAGATTTACAAAATCGTAAGATTACACTATTGATGAAAAATCATCGGGATTACTATACGATTGCATTATCGTGTTTGATGTAAATACATCAGGATTGCAATATTACTTTATGTCATCATATTATCATGTATTTCAACTAAAATCATGAACCAATTTTTAGTCTATAATCAAACCAATTAATTGACAAAATTAACTAGAGTCCGCATTGCAACGAAATTGAGAGGCACCATGAACAAAAATGAAAGTAGGGTCTTAACTTTCCTTAAAGGTAAAATAATCATGCCGTCATTGACAATTCAGTTGTTATTACCAACAGACGCAAAGATATCTGAATCAACTTTTTCGATAGATTGATCTAAAACCACTGTAAGAAACCGGAAGGCCTTATTGAGGATATTTGCAGGTGTTTATAAAACTCACTTTCCATTCTTGTTTACCTATTGTATAGCTCTAAAAGTTATTTATGTCCTGACAGTTATACTATAAATGCATATTGACCATGCATGTTCTACGGAAAAAAACACATAAGTTACATCGCTTACGGGTTGTAAATTGAATCAAATATACACAAAGTATTTATATCAACAATAATTTATGCCTATGACAGGATCTAATGAAGAGAGTACAATTTAAGGAGAAACTCAAATATGGCATTGTATCCCTTATAGATAGAACTAAATGCTAGATATTCTTGAAATTTAACACTAATTTTCAAGATTCATGGGGATATGATTGTGATTGGTGGGTTTGGAACTTTTCAAAAATACTAATTCACGTATGTTAAATGAAAGTAAAGATTAGATACAACTAACTGATTCACTATTTGATTTTGAACATATTTTATCTTATCGACTATAGTGAACGATGTGTAAGAGGAAAAGATTACTGAAAGATGTGTTTATATATACGTTATGAAATAACAAAAAGACAGGAAAAAAAATCAGTATGGTGTCCCTCGATTAACTTTCATTCGTTAACTGACGACCCTTCCACTTGACACTGTCGGCTTACGAAGGTTAACTTTCATCCTTGCTAGCTTGACGAGTTGGTGTTGTAGTCAAAGCTCCCATCTGTCTTTGTACTCGATGGTCAATCTTCGTCTGGTCTATTATTTTTTACAAGACATAATTGATTCATATTTAATGGTTTAAAATACGTGTTCTAATTTTATAATTTTAATTTTTTTTAAAATGGTATATTCTTTATGTAACTGGACCAATATATTTATGCTTAGTAAATGAAACAATATTTATGTATAAAAAAATCAATTAGTATCAAATAAATCATTTATAGTCTTCCAATAGGTTAATATCTGAATACATGCTATTGTTATAATTGATATATGTTTAAATTTGGATTTTGATATGCGATGACAGATATATTACTTGTACTGGTTATCATGGCTCTCCTACGTTACCACTTACACTAGGTCGAATAAGTAAAGACGAAACATGATATAAGAAGAATAGAAGATAATTGATAAGTTGAAAAAACTTTTGTAAGAAAAATCAAATAAATGAAAGTTGAAGGGCCATTTATGGTAAATGTGTGAAAGCTAGGGACTTTTTTCAAAAATGACAAGATGGAAGAGATGAATTATAGATTTCGTCCCTCTCTTTTGATATTTTGTCTGTCTAGAGTTTCTATGGTACATTTATTACGGATTTGGTTCCTGTAATTATTTAATTTATTTTGGTTATATTTTTTAGACGAATACTGCTTAATTTTTTTGTTAATTCGAAGGTTGTTTGATAGTTGTTGAATATTTTGATGCAAAATAATTAAGTTGTCAGAATAATTAAGAAATTCTCATGATATAATATAAAATAAAATATAAATATTCGGTAATTGTTTACAATGAAATTATGATGATGAATGCTTAAGGCAGTCTCATGATACAAAATTATTTAGAGGGTTTTTAAATCATTAAGAAGCAAACTTACTTTTACCAAACAAGATTCACATCTTAATGATTCAAATACTACATCTTAATTGAACTATTAAAAGAGAAACAAATGACCAAACATCCTCTCAGTTAAATCAAAAATTATTTTAATATTTTTATCTATTTTTCTAAAAAAAACAATAACTTTATACACACATATATAAGGATATGAAGATGGATAAAATAAAATATTATTTTATGATTTAATTTGTTAAAATTAAAAAATTAATTATATTAAATAATATTTAATTTTATTGCAACAGGTTAAAAGACATAATTTTATTGTTTTAATGTGATTAAAATTTTAATTTAGACAAACCATATCTTATAATGGTGAGATTGGTTACAACCAAGTTCCATACCCAGACAAACAATAAAATTAGATCGTATTTAATAAAATTAATTTTTAATTAAACAAACTAAATTATAAAATATCTGTTTTATTTATTTTGATATTTTTTTTATATATGTAAAATATTGTTTTACCTTTTTTAGGAAAATGACAAAAAGTCCAAAATGGTATCGATTAATTTAAATTAACAGATTTATTTTATGTCAAAAGATCATAAATAAAACAAATTAAATACCAAAAAAACCATATTCATAATTTACTTTAACCTTTATTTCTTAAAAATCATTTGAAAGGAAGGTTATTTAAGTTGTTTATATATCTAATGAATATAAAAAATACATTAGGTTCTGATGATTAAAAAAAAGTAGTTATGGTGAGAAGATTTCAAAGAGAGCTTTATATTTAAATCAGTTTTAATTAAATCAACAATAATAAAATACATCAAAATG